TAATCTAATCCAATTATCTCCAAGCACAGAAAATACATGCAATATAACAACACCCCAAAAGTACCCCTAAAACACATGGAATCCCCATAAAAGTCATAGCCCCTGATAGCCCTGATCTGGGGGACCAACATATGCAAAAATCAGATCGTTGTTTTTTTTTGCACTTTATATTATTGATTTTTTTGTTTTCAGTGATGTTATACAGTCTGCACTATTATGTATTTGTTCTTTTTTTTCCCGTTCATACATTTATGAATGTTTTAGTTTGATGGCGATACATAATATGTTTTTGCGATACGTATATATATATATTCTTTACACTATTAAGCCCATCCTTCTTATTGTTTTGATACGATTGTCACCTGCTGAATACATCTCAGTAAATCATGTCAGTGATGCTTATCTTGCTGGTTCTCTATGTCTGACCTCTGGTAACTATACATTTTGTACCTCCCCTCCTTCCCCATTCTCTTCCACAAGTAGGCTTTACACTTTTGTGAGGGGCAAAAACATCAGCCACCCGGATTTTTGTATATGCCCATTTCAATACAGAGGGTTCCATTAAATCCTTCTGATAGTGAAGCATTGGATTGGTGGATTGCAGGAACTGCTGCATATAGAATATAGTGGTCTTTATAATCAGATTTTACAGATTGTCTCGCTATAAGTAAAATTCACAGAAGTTTGCTTACAAACTCTAGCACATTGACCCCTGAGTATTTAAGATTTAATAAGTGGCCTAGCAAGGTATTTACCTTGAGGGAAATTGTTCTTAAACTTTGCTTGAGTTTGTTGTCACAAAATGTGTCACAAGGTCCTAAAAAGTGGTCAGAATTTGAGAATATCACTACCGGGTATTTCTTAGCTACATTCTGACTTACATACACTAAAGCAGTAAATCACAAAATAAGGCATATCCTATATTTACAAGGTGTACACACACTTTAGGAATTTTTAGATTCAAGTACATCAGTTGAAATTCACAAGGAATATGAAGGCAAAACTGTAAAAAAACAGTACAGTACAAGGGGATTTAATGAGCCACATAGACACAATCTAGATGCTCAAATATTGGGACGTCTTATTTGCTCTGATTTCTGTGTATTAAGTAAAGTTATGCACCTTAGTACTATGAGATGGAAACTTCACAACATATTTATTAAATTGTTTTGAAGGTGGCAATTAAATTACCATTATTATTTTGTTCTTGCCATTATTATTTTGTTCTTGTTTATTAAAGTCATCTAAAAAGCGATGGTTTTCTTAATATTAAAGTCCACCAGTTTTCACAGGACTTTTCATATTCTGTCAGGAAAAATAGAGGAAATATTCATAAATCCTGCATTAACAGAAAAAAATGGCACCTATTCATCCAGATTAAAAAATCTGACACATGTATTAAAGGGACACGCTTTTTAATGTAAACACTGCCTTTTCACTTGTCACTCAAACAGCCACTAGAGGTGCTTCCTGGGTTAATGCTGCTCAATGTGCAGCACTGACATTAAGCGTCTCCACATTCCACATAGAGATGCAGTGATTCAATGGGTCTCTATGAGGAGATGCTACTTGGTGCAGGACTGTGTTTTGTGGCAAAGTGCAAAAGCTTCCAATACATGTTTGTATTCCTGACACCCTAGTGTTTCTTTAAGTTGCCCCAAAATTTCTCCAAAACTTTGCTGAAAATTAGACAGTGACACTTTGATAAATCCTACCCCTCCCCCCCATGTTCCTCAATGACTGTGTGGAAGGAGTTAGATGTGTTTGCTAATATGTGTGCATTAAAATTTAATAAGTAATACATTAGGGAGATGAAAATGGTTGCTGGCTAAGTGTAAATATAGGAATATGCTATCCATGGATTATATTATTATTATTATTATAAATAATATGTGCCTATGTCATCACTAAGCATAATTATTCCACAGGGGGCCCAATAAAGTAAGAACTTTGAGGACAGTTTTTTCTAACTTAAAACCTTACTGTGCAGGTGATAAAAAAAACATATGAGCTCCTTTATGGAGCTTCTGTTAGTTCTCCTGGGCTAAACCCCCCCCCAGCAAGACCAGCTCATTGGCTGAGAGTGTCACCTGATTACTTAGCTCGGAGCAAAGTGCTTGCGGCTTTCATAGCAGCAACATAGTGGACGGCAGGTAAGAAGTGATACCATTAAGTAACAGTTTGACTACTTACTTTGGGGACCACCAGGGAACTCTTGGCACCATAACCACTATAGCTCTCTGTAGCTCACTGTAAAGGTTACAGTGCTTTAATCTCCTGGAATTCTGTTAGAAATAGTCATTGGCCTGGTAAAGAGACCTGCTTTGTCAAGGTCAGTAACTCAAGCATTAACTTCTGTCCTCCAGAAACAAAAGGCCAATTGCCCCCCTATGTGCCCCCCCTGCCACTGCAAGTACTTAGACTGTTTAAGAAACTGTGGTTTGCCGGGCCTTGCTGCCTCCTCCTTTCAGGCCAAAGAGAACCAGAAGCTCCTGTATAGGAGCTTCCATTAGCGCTCGTGAGTTAAGCCCTGCAGTGCATTAACTGAAGGCATCAGCTCATGAGCTAAGCTCTGCACCACTTGGCTTATTTCAGACAGCGAACTCCTGGCTCTTTGTCGGATATAGTGGAGGACATTTTAAAAAGGTTTGACTAAGTACAATGGGACAACAACAGGGCATTTCTGGCACCATAACAACTACAGTGCTGCATGTTCCTTTATGAAAAGGCCAGTAGGAGCTGTATTTCCCTAAACTCTGTGCATTAAAAAGAGGTGAGTCATATTTAATTTGATATCTGTGCAACAGAAATAGGTGGGATGCATGGATTATGTGCAATATAATAAGGGGGCAAAATATGTGATATATAACATGTATATGTGTAACGGAACCCGGGTAACCCGACCGGTTACCTCTGCTAATCTGCTTCCTTCAGCCATTTAGGAACCATTCAGAGTATCAAGAGACCCATTTCCTCCCCAGTAACTGGACGACTCACAGCTCTGGAGGTACTACACTGACAATGCTTTATTGGTACAGGCTTAATTTATACACAGACCCCTGCAGAGGGTCTTCATACCATTCAGTACAAATTCCTCAGTGCCAGGCTGGAAGGGGATGGTTTACAGATAACCATGTCCCGCTCTGGGAGATACCAACAGCACAACATTTACAGACAATAGGACGCATTACATACATGGGGGAAACTTATGGGGCTCCACATCCTGGGAAGGAAAAGGGGTACACATATAAGACATCCATCCCTAGATAGTCCCGGGTCCCAACTAGGATCCCTGGAAATAGCGGGGCTATTGGATGTACAGAGCCAGAGAAATCATTGTATAAAGTCTAGGGGTTTAGGCTCTGTACATCCCCGCAATTAGTTCCACGGGGTTGCTTGGTTTAGTCCGGTAAATTCAAACTTTGCGCCCAAACCAAGCAACAGCTGAGAAAGGGCGCAAACCAATTTGCGCCAATCAGCGCTCAGGGAGGAGAGGCATTTCCTTCAGCTAATCAGAGAAAAGGGTGCGAAACCAAATCGCACCAATCAGCGCGTGGGAAGAGGAGGCGTTCCGCCAGCCAATTCGGGAAAAGGACGCAAAACCAAATCGCGCCAATCAGCACTCGGTGCAGGGAGGTGTTTCGCCGGCCAATCAGGAGAAAGGACGCGAAACTAGTCTTAATGGTACCCCTTCTCCTATTGGCCGGAACAGACTTCCAGGCAGCCAGCGGGACTCTGCAGCCGTAAAGCCTTCTCACAGTTCAAGGGATTCTGCTTTGGCTCTCTCTCCGGTGGGCAGCCACTAGCCCGGTTAGTGATTATGCTCCTTTAGGATTAAATAGAACACCCAATACCCCAAAAGTGTCCCTATCAACCTTAGGAACCTGTTCGTGGCATTCCGGTGTGAAGGCCATGCAAGGAAAGCGTCTCCTTTCGGGATACGAACGCTCCCCCTGGGTGGCATTCGTATATATGAAATAGCGGCCACCCAGGGGAGCACTCATTAATTACTTCTCCTGCGGTTTCGCACTATGTCATAATTCATTGGTGTGAACATTCTAATGGGTTACACCGGTGTTCCCCGTTCGGGAGACGAACGGATCCCGTTCACATGAATGCTCCTGAACGGGAAACAGAGCACAGTACGAAACACACGGGGAAACAAGGGGAAAACACACTAAATAGTAGTGGGCACATGTGGATGCCATACTCCGTGACGGCGTTCCGTCACAATATGTATATAAATAAAAAGGTATATTATTACAAGTATGCTGACTTGCTTCACTCCCTATTCTTTTAAACTATATTGTTATAGTTAAGCCCTGACATTACAGATTCACTAAGTAACAGTAAATAGTGACGTCATGTGGCCAGGACCATCAATTCTGTAGATGAGTACGAGATTGTGACAAAACTACGCCCTCTGCGATGTTTGTCACAAAAACTACATATAGAACTTTGGAAGATTACTATATATTTATATTTATGTTAGCTTGTGTTTCCTTTAACTGGAGACAATAATTTTCTCTTCATATGTCTGTGTATTAGTAGGTGGTAAGAATGTGTTCTCTTGACTGTATTTTAGGAAGAGGTTACAGGTATGCGTTCAGATACCTTGGTATCTGTAAAAGATGAGGGGTATTGGGAAATCACAAGTCTCAGTCCCCCACATTAACTCATGCAAACACTATGCAGCTGTGTGTCACCGTTTTCACACCACAAAATAACACACACACCCTTCTAACAGGCACACAGAGTATACATCCTTACAGACTTACCAGATATTAACGTGTAAATGTGTATGCAGGTCAGGGTGTGGGTTCTTTTCTTCTCCCACCCAGAAGCCATGTCCCCACCTTTCCAATCTTCATCCCCTCCCTAAAGCATTTCCACCTCACTCCAAGCGGTTTTGAAACAGGTTTAACAGGTCGACAGAAGATGATAAAAAAATAATAATATTGAGGTGGATCCTCCCCCCACCGTTATTTCACAACTCATGCCTTCTCAGCAGACACTAGAACTTCATCCGTGTTCATCCTAACAGTGGATAAAATCATTTGCTTAAAGCCGTGTCTACAATCAGCAACAATTTCACCTCCAATTTTTCTAATCTTTTCATGGACTTGAGATATGCCCTTGAACCTTTCTGCATAAACAGGTGACAGGATCTGTCAGACTAAACCATCGCCCTGAACTTTATAACAGCAAGAGAAACTGCCTGCAACAAATTTGAGAATATTTTAGATCTCCTGTATTACTGTCACTTGAACTTCATCTGGATCAAGGCTTATAGAAGTGATCGATTGTTTTTCAAGTCATGGAATGTTTTTTTGAGCTAAACAGATATTTTATCACATTTTTTCCTATTTTCACCTATTAACTGGATCTAGGGGAAATGAATTATTTACCTTTTTGGTTGTTTGAGATAACTAGAACAAATTTAGGAAACATATTTCCATTAGCTATAATTCTAGGTCGTCAAAAAAGTAAATGAACGTTTAATGATTTCTGATTTACACAAAACATTTTTTTGTTTTTGTTTGGATTTAAGTAAATTATATTCTGATACAAATTCAAGATTTAACTCTAAATTGGCATTTAAATAAATAAAATATTATCACTGACCTTCATTTTTGGATTTCTATTCTAAGACAATCCAGAAATCGCATATTTCCCTTTTTTTTGACTGGGCATGTAAAATAACAATATTTTCTTGATGATGATTTTTTAGGAGTTTGTTAGTGTAAATAAGATACAGTCTCTGAGATTACTGATCACCTTGGGTGAAGATTAAAGACATTCAAGATGCCCAGAGCATTTCTGGTGAAGAAGTCCAGTTTGACATCAGGAAAGAAGAAATGGGGAGAAGTACCAGATGAGAATAGAGGAGACATGTTTATTCCAGGTGAATTTATTTAACCTCGTAATTTTTCTGTGATAACAATCCATCATTGTATTTTGTCTTTAGGGTGTTTCTGTTTTGTCTAACCCAGCACAGCAAACAATCAGAATGCTTCGTACAGTGCCTGCTCTCCTATAAAATGGAGGTATGACCAATCCATATGTACACTATAGCTAAAGTTAAAGGGATTCCAGAACCCTAAATCACTATAGCTTGCTGAAGGTCCTTATGTGTGTAGAGTGTGTCCTATTGTTTTTCATTTTACAAAAAGTGCAAATATCAATAGAAATTAGCACTTTTTTTTAAATTAACTTTGTTTAACCACCCAACTGTGAATTAGACAACTGATCCTCATACCTCTTGGTTGTTTAACTTATTGGAGCTAAACTGAAGAGGCAAGAAATTGCTCAGATGTCTCATTGATCAGCATTGGCTAAGTCTTGACTAGGGTAGAAGGGTGGGCTTGCAAAGGCTGCAGACAAGAGATCTGCAGCTTTTATAAGCTGTTTTCAGATATACCACCAAAGAAAAAAACATACTACAGACACTCCAGACCCCTAAGCACTTTAGCTTGCTGAAGTGTTTTATGTGTAAAGAGTGTGTTCTCTTTTTCAAATTACAAAAAGTGCAAATTTCTGTAGAAATTGGCACTTTTTAAATTAACTTTGTTACCCCCTTGGCAGTCGATCTGATAACTGGTAGGCGAGGTATGCAATTGCTCAAAGCACCTGCCTCACAAAGACTTCTTATTGAGCTGCTGGGAAGTGACTAGGGTTAGAAAGGGAGAGCTAGCAAAGGCCTCTGACAAGAAAATTGCAAGTTGATTTTAGATATACACAATGAAAAAAATATATAAATAAATGCTTGTTTTCATTAGGGGTATATCTTCTACCAGGGATAAGCAACCTTCAGCACTCCAGATGTTGTGGACTATATCCCCCATAGTGCTCTCACACCCAAAATGCTAGCAAAGCATCATGGGAGGTGTAGTCCAAAACATCTGGAGTGCCAAAGGTTGCCTATGCCTGTTCAACACAGTGATATATACAATTAGCCTGCATCTCTGACACATGCCCACATCTTCTAAAAAACAATAAGTGGATGGGATGGTTGAGAAAGCTGAGAGTTTTTAATGGGGTATGCTGTCTTGTTGATTAAAGGCTTAGGGGATAATTAGGAAACTTAAGATGCTAACATGATATGTCTGTAGCAATTTTTATTTGTTTTCATACAGAAAGATACACAGCCGGGCGCTCACTGTTTCAGTTGTCAGCTGACTGTTATGTTCACCTTCAAGGTTGAAATAGTATGTACTTAGGCCCCAATTTCATATATTTGGATAATCTTTTCAAGTGACTTACTATTTTCAGATAGACTTTTAAAATGATTTAGTATATTAAAAAATATATATTTTTTATTTTTGATATATTTATTGGTCGTTTAATAATTTGAAGGAAAAAAATCATTTAATAAAGCTTATCCAAAAATATTAAATTAAGGCCTTAAATGGTTGTACTCTTAATCCCAAATAAAGTTTGTGTACTCTTATATTTAATTATGTATTTTAATTCAGACCAATTTATCCATTACCAGCTGCAGATTACGGCATCAGATGCAGCTCAGCTTTGTTATGGAGGTTTATTGGATTTGTAGTCCACAGCATCTGATATAAAAGTGCCCATCATTGCAGTAGGGGTATACCCTTTTTTTTAAAAGGGACACACCACTGCCCAAATTAAAAAAAACTAAATAAAAAAATAGGGGTGGGGCCTGACTGCCAACCAACCAGAATGCAAGTTTCAAGAGCTCCTAGACTAATTCCTCAGATTAAGCTAAAAAGCAATATTTATAGCAATTTATTGACACCCTCTCAAAATTCAGCCTGGGGTTAAGAGTGTGTACTTACCTGGCTTACCTGGTCAAAACCTCTGCCTGGAGGCCTTTTTCCCTATATGGGAATAGGTTGCTTTTTCTTCCCAATGTGTTTGTAACACTTTTTGGCTAATTATATATGCCAACAGCAGTTCCTCGACTTTTACATTGCTATTTAGTGGCATAATTTAACTATCTACCCTCTAAAGCTACTGGTCATATTTTTTGTTATTAAATTTTTTTTTTTTTTCGAATGGGCATATCTCTTTACAGTTTTTTTATTATACCAGTTCTTGAGTTCTTCACCACAATTATATTGTACTAGGATTTAACTGGGCCATTCAATCGCATATACAGTATTCACAATTGCTCTATGTCATTATATGGCATATATCTCAATAACAAAGTGATTGACAATAAATAAATAGAAAATCATTGATTTGTAGATATACCGCCAATAAAAACTTGCATGCATTTAATTATGCATTCTTTTTTATTGTGGGTATATCTAATAACTGTTTGTAAAAGCTGAAGATCTCTTGTCTGCAGCATTTGTAAGCCATCCCCTTCTAACCCCACCCAGATTTTCTGTGGCTGTCCAATGCCGCTCAATGAGAATACTTTACAAAGCAGGTGCTGTGAGCAATTGCTTGCTAAACAACCAGGAAGTAACAGGACCAGTTATCTGATTGTCAGCCGGGAGGAGGACAGCTCTCACTTCTGTCCCCAACTGGTGGCAACTGTGATAATTGTGATAAAATCCAATTAACTAATTAAGCATGATTGATTGATCACTAATGAGCAAATTAATCTATTATAGATAGTTAAGATGGCACTTGGCTTAAACTGTGTCGCACTAAGAAATTCAACCTGTGTTGCACTAAGAAATTCAGCTACGATGACATTGCATAAAATACTTAAACTGTGTCGCACTAACAAATTCAACCTGTGTCACACTAAGAAATTCAACATTGCATAGAATATTCCATAGCATGTCTGGCCAATATCCAAAAAGGCCCACGTGCTGAAAAGAGGGATTTGGTGCCAACAAATGTGTAGAAAGATAAGAGTAGGGACATAGACAGAATAAGGTACCGCACGTGGCTGGCATGAGCCTTGGGTGGTCATGACTGGCCTGATCAACCATACTGATTACTTAATGCGCATGACAAGATACATGCTGGGCTGCACTGATAAAAAAAAGTTACAAACTTGATAAAAAGTATAAAAGACGGAGAAACTTGGCACTCACTTGGAGAACTACCCACCTGTAATGCGGACGCGTGTTGCTGGTCTCTGCTGTTCCCAGAGAGGGTCCCTCCAAGCCTGACTACCAGAGTTCTTCAGTCAAGTGCAGAGGACAACCGAGCCCCTCTAATGGTGATGTATACTTAAGCTGATATATCCGGATGCTAAGCTGTTTTGAAGTGAATGCATGCAACTACTTAATGAGAGTTAAGCTTATTGGGTCCCCTTGTGGACAATAAAGTGTGGTGTGAATTCTTATCTGCAACTTGGTCTCTGTGTGGTTTCTTTTTTCCTATAGCCCAAGACACTCATCTCGAGCTGGGTTGTGTGCCCGCCAATATCGCTATAAACCTTATTAGGTAATTGATTATTACTTTTTGGATATTGGTGCTTCATGAATTTAATGATTAGGCACAACAGCAACTATAGCCTATGCCAGGGATAGGCAACCTTTGGCACTCCAGATGTTGTGAATTACATCCCCCATAATGCTCTTACACCCATAATGCTGGCAAAGCATCATTGGAGGTATAGTCCAAAACATCTGCAGTGCCGAAGGTTGCCTATGCCTGGCCTATGCTTTATCTACTGTACAGCTCTGGACGTTGTATAAATACTGACAGAGAGTGTCTCAGGCAGTTTTCTTCCCTTTTTTTCTGTGCGTGTGGGGGGTGGAGAGGCGGAATTATTACATTTTTATGCTTCTTTCAATATGTTGCTAATTTTTACATCTAAAACTTAATTTTGTAATGTACACTTGTTTTTTTTCACAACTGATATATCATAAAAGTGTTCTTATGTACTTTGCTTTTTTTCCAACACACTACATTTGGAGGTCTTTTCTGAAATGGACACTTCTGCAAAGAAAGGATCAAAGCCAAATCATTTTAGACAATTTTTAGAACAATTTAACGAACAAATCAGAGAACAAAATTATAAGACAATTTTCAGGACACTTTATAAATGTGCCTCAGCATTAAGACAATGCATGGAAGCACAGGAGCTATGGGCAACGATAAACCCTTAGCTGTTGTAGGCTAACAATGCTTCATGGGAGTTGTAGTCACACCATGACTGATGGTTTATATTTTGACCACCCTTTTTAAACAATGTGGTGGGCGTGGTGTGAATGAGACAAATTATTATTTTTTTGTTACTCTCACCAAGTTTTTTGTTTTGATGGGTTGGGCCGGAACTGTATGAATTACTCTGCACCTCATCTGTCAAAGCTCGATCCCACACACATCTACGAATTCACATTGCTTTATAGTCAAATTCCATTCAGGGCCAGATTAACAAAGATGCTATTGGAATGGCTGCTCAAGACTAATTTTTTTTAATTGGGCCCAAAGCTGCCACAATATGAATGTACAGTTGAGTTCTTCATTTATTCATATAGTATGAAATAGGCTGCTGCCATTACAGAGGCTTTTCACTTGTATCAAGCTTAATAAAAAGGCTTCCGACATTCAGACTATGGCCTTGAATACATTTAATAAGGTTTTAATAAATTTAATAAAATTATTCAATATTGTTAGAAAGACTTTATAAATGGAGTCTTCTGCAGATATATCATTTGGAAGGTTTTCTAGCAGCATCATACCAACATTTCACATGGACAACAAGGGATACTTGAGTTTCAGGGGTGTGAGTGTTGGCATGGCAGGGACAGTGCTGTTCTGAGAAATTGTAGGTAACTTCATAACAATTTATGCAACTAAAATGTAATTTAGAGCAATAACACTGTATCTCACTTATACAGAATGATTTCAAAACACATTTATTGTAGTTTAAAGGATCACTATAGGGCCAGGAACACAAACATGTATTCCTGACCCTATAGTGTTAACACCACCATCTAGCCCCCCCTGGGCCCCTCATGCCTCCATAAATATAGTAAAATTCTTACTGTATTCAAGCCTGAAGCTGTAAATCTGCATGCTGTTAGACTCAGAAAAACAAGCAGTCTCCTGACATGTGGTAGCCTGATCCAATCACAGTGCTTCCCCATAGGATTGGCTGAGACTGACAAAGAGGCAGATCAGGGGCAGAGCCAGCATGATTCAAACACAGCCCTGGCCAATCAGCATCTCCTCATAGAGATGAATTGAATCAATGAAACTCTATGAGGAATGTTCAGTGTCTGCATGCAGAGGGAGGAGATACTGAATCACAGGATGCTGTGCCCAGTGCTGCCCTGTGCTCTGCTGACAGCAGATCTGAGTGGATCAACTCCGAAGTCCCTCTGTGGCAGTCTTAGTGACTGCAACTGGAGGTGTTCCTAGCTTTCAATGTAAACACCGTATTTTCTCAGAAAATACAGTGTTTACATGAGAAAGGCTGCAGGGAGCTATAGTTCTCACCCGAACAACCTCATTAAGCTGAAGTTGTTCAGGTGACTGTAGTGTCCCTTTAACCCCTTAAGGGCCAAACTTCTGGAATAAAAGGGAATCATGACATGTCACACATTACTGTATTATTGCTGTGAAGCTAATGTATACACTCTGTTATACACTCAGAAACTCAAACAATATAGAGCTCCTAGAAAAGAGGGGCATTAGGATAGAAAAGAGGGACAGAAAGATTTAGTCCCAAAATAGTGACTGTCCCTCCTAGGTATAATAATTTGAAAAGCTATAGGTCTATTGAGGCCTACAACATACATTGCAATCATAGGTTAGACTAGCAGTAGCTTTTCTATATGTCACATATGTAGTCCATAGCTACTGTAACAAAGGAAATATATTGGTTAGGAACATCAAAATTCCCAGCTCCAGGTTCATAAAGTACCAACTCCAGTTCTGATTTCATTGCTGCCCAAGCACTGACCACATTCCTTTTCGTCTCCAGCAGTGACTGTGGGATATGTGACTCGAGATGAGATTGAACCTGCGTGTGACCGTGAGGTGGCTCTTGATTTATCTCTTCATCACATTCGTTGTATGACAGAGACTTCCTCATACCATGTAACAGAAGAAAAGGAAGTACGGGAACATGGATTTCAAGACCATGGACAATCTCTTCAGGTGAGAGTGGAAGTTCACATACCTCCCAAGTGTCCCTAATTAAAAGGGAGACTCCCTATTTTGGGCCATCTGTCCCTCTAAATGCAAACTGCTACAACTCCAAATAGCTGTATTGTAGTATTAGTTCTGTTTTGTAAAACAGATAGACAGATGACCAAATGGCTAAATCTAAATCCAAATAATAAATTCAAAAAGGTAGAGGACTCAAAACTTTGAGACTTAGGATGCTATGTTCATTTGGGTATCCTACATCCACCTTTTTAGGACAGATATAAATATCTTACATCAACAGTACTAGAATACAACACAATCAATATTATATATATATATAAAAAGGAATACAATCTCAAAGTGCTTCAATTCACACAACTCTATCCAGTGGATTCAATAATGATAAAGTGCATCACAAATAAGTACATAAAATAAAGTGCATATATCAGTCACAGTGAAAAGAACACACCGATTCTGGTTAAAGTGTAGCCACAAAAGTGCTCGCAATCACAAGTGCACTACTTAATATGTAACACAATATTTTCCATTAAGTGTATCAATAAAGTGGTAGAAATTGTACTATTTTCAAAAAGGTGCAATACTATATATATAGTACAGAATTAACCATAATGTGCATCAATAAAATCACAAATTTGGCTCTCACAAGTCCAATTTTTGCACTTTGCAGTTGCTGACCTTGCATTAGTATTCATTTTGCTGCTCCTAAGTGTATTCAGCTTGGAAGTGTTAAGGTGAATAAACAAATTAGTTGCAAAATATTGTCAGAAGTCAAGCTGAAGAAGTACCTTATCACAACGATTAGCTAACTCTGCTATTTTAACTTAAATATTGCACAAGTGTCATTTCACCACAATTCACAGTTTAGTGAGGAACCCTGTAAATGTTTGCCTTATATACTATAAATATAGATATGTCAACTAACCACTCAATTACTCCATAGGCTGAACAGAAGATGCTTTTCCGTTGCACTCTTTGTGACAAGAGCTTCACATACCAGCGGATGCTAAACCGTCACATGAAATGTCACAGTGAAGTTAAAAGGCATCAATGTGAACATTGCGGCAAAGGGTTTAATGACACCTTTGACTTGAAGAGACATGTGCGCACTCACACAGGTGAGGAAAAGAGTTTGGTGAATTTAAAGGCTCCAAGTGTTGGCAGAGGCTTAGAGAATATGCATTATATGACAAATAGGTGAGATTAGAAAGAAGATTGTAAAAAAAAAAAAAAAAGACATTATTTATATAGCACCAACATATGATTATAGAATGGGGATTGTGACGAGACCAATCTCATTGCATTGGAGGAGCCTGGTTGCCTGCCTGCTGCCTTTTGACTATGGACCGGCATTTAAATACTTTATTTTCCTATGCAGAAAGGTCTATTCCTGTATTTCTGCCCTGGCGTTCAGTAGATTCTCAGATAGCTATGCCATGGAGCCTATTCGTGTAATAAAAGACTTTGGCTCCATGGCGATTGAACTGTATGTGTGTGGTCTGAGCGCCATTCAGTAATAATGTGCACTCAGACCTGAGCTATCTGGGGATATGTTGCATGTCTGTATTTTATGTAATAAATGTAACCTTGTGTATTTTATTGTATTTTACTGCCATGGGCTTAATTAAGTTTTGCCTCTGTCCTTGGAGATAATTGGATTACTTCCCAATTATTTCCCGGATAGAAGACTCTGTGGAACTGGTTTTGGGCAGAAAAGCCATGCTTCATTTGGTCACAAAGGACTTTGATCTATCTTTCGAACCAATGGACCAATTTGGATAATTTTGACATATGACATGGAGTATGCTGATCCTTGTCTCGTTCTTGGGGGGATTTATTGTATGCTGTTCCAGTTTGACTGCTAGGAGTGTAAACCTATTCGTATGGTTTTTCCTATTCGGCTGTTTACAGCATTCACATGGTTTCCTGTTCGGCAGATTGGTATCTATGGTAGATGCCTGTGTATCTGGAAGGGGAATATCCTCTAAACGGCAGTTAACCCCTTTTATGCCGGGGGTGCCGTTACAGGGATATTTAGAGGTGAAGAAGGCACTGCCAAAATGAGCTTACAATCTGTGAGGATTTGAGGTTGGCAGATATATATCATTAGGTGACATGCCCAAGGACAATTGTTGATGCAGTCAGCTAATATATGAAATTTAGCTGAAGAACCAGTGATGTAATTAGTAAGTAGATGCAATACTTTCTTATTTCACCTGTCTAATTAATTATTACAAATTTCACTGAATAAGCTTTGGTGCTCCCTAATGTATTAATTGCTAGAAATTCCCAAGAACTGAGAAGAGAATTCGGGAGACTATTTTGGCCCGTTGACCAAGTACAACCAAATAGTCCAAACTGAAAAAAAATCAAAAAAATCTAATATAAAATATTGAATTCTTCTAAGACAATATGGTGCACTGTGTAGTTATAGGGACCTGTTTTACGTAGCTATTCCCCTGTATACCTTTAAAGGACCACTATAGTGCCAGGAAAACATACTCGTTTTCCTGGCACTATAGTGCCCTGAGGGTACCCCCACCCTCAGGGACCCCCTCCCGCCGGGCTGGATGGCGCGGAAAGGGGTTAAACTTACCTTTATTCCAGCGCCGGACGGGGAGCTCTCCTCCTCCTCTCCACCTCCGATCCTCCTCCTGGGCTAATGCTTTCCTATGGACGCTTGCAAACGACTCTAGCGGCTGTCAATGAGACAGCCACACTTTAGAGGCTGGATTAACCCATTTATAAACATAGCAGTTTCTCTGAAACTGCTATGTTTATTAAAAAAAGGTTAATCCTAGAGGGACCTGGCACCCAGACCACTTCATTAAGCTGAAGTGGTCTGGGTGCCTAGAGTGGTCCTTTAAGAGTGGTTGGCTAATTCCCTATTCATAGGTGTTTTTAGGCTAATATTACCTTTGCATTAGCTATTTAGCTATAATTTATGTTTTACTTTTGCTCTTTGTCCCTGTCTTCCTTTGCTTCTAGTGATTTTCTCCACCCTTTTTCTCTGTGGTATGTATGTGCACCCTCTGCTTTATGATGCCCTGAACAGCCATAGAGACTTGTTTTAGAGTAGTGAGACTATTCCCCAGCCATAGGTTTTTGTAGGCAAATATATCTTTCCTTGGCATTAGGAATAATTTATATTTTACTTTGCCCCTGTTCTCCTTTGATTTTAGGGATTTTCTCTGGTATGTAGGTGCACCCTCTGTTTTATGGTGCCCTGAGGTTGCCATACTGACCTGTTTTAGTTACCTTTTCCCTGAATACCTTTAAGAGTAGTGGGGTTATTCCCCACCCATAGGTACCTGTAGGTATTTAGTGTCTACTGTCTGTTAATTGTTTGTTTGCTTATTATGGCAAACATATATTTTTACATTGCAAATAAGAAAAATAAAGAAGTGTTATGAAAGGTGGATTCTTTTATTGTTTGCTGTTTACCTTAAATGACATTATTGTCACATCTGAAAGCTTGACAGGTTTGATTACATGCCTTGCATGACTGTTTAAGGAACCCCTGCAGCAATGTTCGTATTGCAGATGTTGGCTAGGGTACATAGTATTCTAAGCAACTTTTATGAGATACGTGTGGTAACTGCTTTGGAATTTCAGTGAAATCACAACACAATCCATAAATACCCTAAGGCAAAGTAGGGACTAAAAAAAGTGACAAGGGGCGCAGGGCCTGACCACCAAGCTGGAAAGACGCGTGGTCCATAAGCTCCTCAGCACTGTCACTCACACCGCAATTAAAGTACCTTTTGATGCTGACTTTTTGCTCCATCTGAGTATAGTCTGGGAGTAAAGGCTCTTGTGCACCTCCAACTAAAAACTCAACCGCAGATCTGCCCGCAGAGAGTATCGTCCAATGGACAAAACTTGAGGCCTAGTGTGGGAAGTTGACGGGGGAAGCGGCCGGTCTCCCGTTTCCTGACCTGCCTGGACCTTTCGGGATCACATCCAAAGCCCCATATTACCCCCCCTCACCCACCCCCTGTGGGCTGATGGGGGTTATCCTGGCCTCCCGCTTGTCTCGAGAACTGCTGTCCTGCATAAAGTAGTTACTCACCCTGCAGACCACACTACGCTAGATGGCAGCAACTCCACGTGTCTCTAATATATGGGACATGGCGCCGGAACAGGCCAATATGCAGGGCTGGCAATCCCGAACCCAGACTTACCTGAATGCTGTCCTCAAGCAACTCTGGGTAACACAGAAGGGACCCGAGGTGTCGGCTGTCCCAAGCATCCTGCCCACAGTTAACAGTGAAATGGAGCGTTGAGAGAGCGGTATGTCCCGAGCAGAATTGCGACTACTGCACTTGCTACTCGCATCATCTGCCTACCTCCACTGAGGACTCTTTGGAAGGTAGCATCGACAGACCACCCACAGGGGCGGGAGTCAACTAGACGAGCCAGACGGTGGCATCATCAGAACCGCGCTAAAGTACAACACAGTAGCCCACCTAGAAAGAGCTCATATTGGGTCTGGAGATGGATGGGTGAACTTATCTGTCGCTGTTCTCTTGCTCCCACAAGCGGACTCTCATTGTACTACCAAACCCTACCAAGTCAGGGAGTCAGTTAATTGTCTTACTATACCTTACGGACACGCTCTCATGTCATATAGGCCTTTGGTTCCAGCGGAATAATATTGCAGTTACCACTGTTACACGCACTAACATACTAAGCTTAACTTTAATCTCCATGTCTAGAGCAGATATATATTAATTTGTTATTCTTTGCAATCTCACTTAGACATGTCTGTCATATTCCTTTTATAGATAAAAAAAAAAATGGTGCTTAAGGGGTTAAACCTTGACATATTATTTTTTTTCTCTCATGCTAATCTTGGATTGTCAAAATGTCTTTACTTGCATGTTATACCTTCAAAGCACCAAAAAAATAAAGAATGTCAAAAAATAAATAAATAAGTGACAAAATGTGGAGCACCACCATTAGCTTTTGTCCAACCTCAGCAGCCATTGCAATCGACAGCTGTGGGATTCAGACATTGTCTTGCTCGTATCATTGGTTCCTTCATAGATCTAAGTGCTGTGCTTTTGTGCGTGCACAAAAGTACAACTCTGACCTGGCTCCTGAAAGGCATAGCGCCAGGGGGATGGGGAAGGTGGAGGGAAGTATACCTACCTTCAACTGCACCTTGCAAACCCTAATCTGAGTTGGGTTTTTTGCAGATCCTAATCTGAGTATTTTTATCACAGTTCTCTTGGAGTTGTTCATTTAATAAGGTTAGCTCTTTGAAAATTATGCTGTATACACTCCCTATGAAAGGGAAAATTATAAATGTATTAGTTATTTAGGAAATAAGTTCACAGGACAAATCTGTAGGGATACATTGAATTACCTTAAAATTCCACTATTGTGCTGCTAAAAAAAACTTTTCATTGTTTAGTTGATCAGCTACACAATGCATATAGCCAACAATTAAAGAATACTACTATCTTTAAATAAGTTATTCATAAGGTATGTTATAATGTCACAACAGTCCTCTTGTATCATGTAGGTAAAAGAACACTGTATCCAAAGTGTGATTAGTTACTTTGTTGATCCAGTGATGTAACTTTGTGTGGCCTTCAAATGATGAAGAATAAAGATCATGGCATAATAAATTGTTTGATACACGGCACACAAAGATTAAAAACCCTTACATAAGACTTCTCTCTAAGCTCACACAAAAAGTGCTGTTTAGTCAATGTGGATGTGTGGAATACCACTTATTTTCCTTGGATCCAGGCAGTAACCTAGTTGGTGTCTTCCTTGTACTACTGTGTATATCCCAGATACCCTACTGGTGCACAGCCTGGATTCAAGGTGAATAAACAGTATTCCTCACATCCACATTGATTATACTCCATTTTTTATCTTAGCGTAGACATAAGTCATACACTCTCTTATGTAAGGGTTTTTTAATGATAGAGTGTCATAATCCCTATATTTCTTTATCAATGAGCTGTCTCTGCTCACTGCTGAGATGCACTGATGAGGCTGGGTGTAGGCAAGGAGAACACAGAGCAGTAGCATTCTGGCCATGGACTGCAGTAATGAGGAAACTGGGGAGCGGCCCAGAGAAGCTGTGGCACACTGCCTGCTCTCTCTGAAACAATAGCTGGCTGCCAGTTGTCCCCACATCCCCTGAAATAAGACATCTAAAGTATAGGGATATTCTTTATTATGGGGTGTATGTTACGCCTGTGACAGTCTGTCTGTGCTTGTGTGTGCCTGCCTGTCTGTGTGTGACTGTGTATTCCTGTCTGTACCTTTGTGTACCTGTCTGTGTCTTAGTGTGTTTGTTTGTTTGTTTAAATTAGTCTGTGCTTGTTCACTTGTGCCTGTTTGTGTACCTGTCTGTGCCTGTGTGTACCTGTCCATCTGTGCCTTCTGTGTCTGTCTGTGCCTGGGTGTACCTGTCTGTGTCTGTCTGTGATGTCTTGAAGTAATTTACATTTTGGACAAAAACAAGTCATTCTTGACTCAACAAGGGCAGTCAGAATTCTCTTTGATGAGCATGTTGTGCCTAAATGCATTTGAATTCTATTGAAGCTGGCCCAAGCACAAGCAAACTGTTTTGCATAATTCTGTGGCGGATCACTCACCAAGGACCCAAGTGTCACCGCCAATGCTTTCCTTTCCCTCTGAAGTATCTCTCCCAGCGTATAGAATAATGATTATAGCTCAGTGTTATAGCTTCTATAGTGGTTTCACCCAAAAACTAGTCGAGACTTAGTGAATAGTGATGAAGAAGAATTTTTATTGTCAGCTTGTCACACTTTTATACCCAAGGCCTCAACAGGAGGTCCCCAGGAGAAAAACAAGATTGCGACATCCCTGGCACCTTGGTGTCTGTACCTAGATGGATAATTTAATTAGCCGACAGACACCTTTGAACTGGGTAACAAAAACAGTAATAATACAGTGTTTCAATGCCAGCATCCCCAAATAAATGGTATCCCAGTAAAGCTCTCTTCTGAGCGCCCACTCTGTCCAAAAAGCACTTGAATAGGTGGTGGCTAGCTTGAGTTAGGTGGAAGTCAGGATTTTAGTGGGCCACTGCTCCTCCGATCCGGCACATAGTTCCAGACATCTGGGCAGAAGTTCCCAGTAACCAAAATAGTGGCAGTAACAAACTGTGTCCAAAAGACTATACTCACTCTTACTCTCTCCCTGTTACACGTTCCCCTACCATCCCAGCAATCCCTTTGTTTCAACCCATCTCAGCCTGTTCAGCCAATCGGAACGTTTACCCAGGAGCGGGAGATACGGAGAATCTCTCTGGAACTCCAGCGCGGCTATGGACAAGCACCTCACACAAGTCACTTTTTTTACCCTTGTTTTAACCCCTTTCCCAAAGAGCTAAGAAGGGGCTGTTTAGAGGTTATATTACCCCATCCTCCTGAACAATCACTTCCTGTAAACTAGAGGGAGACCTCCTTTTTCATCCCCCTAGATCATCCCGTAAAAGACCACGACCTAGCCTTAACCGCATGAAGCCATATTAGGGAAGAACTTTAACAGCGGTTGGTCTAAAAGTTAATCGAGTGTATTTTGGACAATTTCACATGGATCAGAGCACTATTTTCAATTAATGCGTGCTCCGATCCCCTCTTTCAGGGGATATATGACTTGTGGGGATATCATGTTTTCGGGTTGTTTTGGGGGTATTTGTGTGTAGCCTCTTCTGTGTCCAGGAGATAATTAGTTTACCGGTTATCAACTCAATTATCTCCCAGACACAGAGATGCCTGGGCGGGCTTAGGACTGAATGAATAGAGACCCCATGCTGGGGGACCTTGTATAAATACCTGTACCTTCTGCCTGAATAAACCATACTGATTTACCTTTCATCAAGTTTTGGCTGATGCTTGGGGATACTAGAGCTATATCACACTTTCATTCTGCAGGATCAGGTAGACTCCTCAGCGGATATACTCATTCAGAGTATTGGGTGTTCCGTTACAGTGGCTATCTTAGTACCCCCTCCTTGAGGCATGTATTGGGCCATGGAGGTGGAATTCCTGAACCCTGGTGGTCCACTGGGAGATGCAAAATGTCTGCACCCTCCCTCAGACACTATATTTTGGCAGAGCAGGCACCTGCCGTCAAGCTATGCAGGAGCCTACTCTGCCCTAGCACACAACTGGCAGCCACTTTGGTGGGACCTAAGGTGACCAGCCTGCCAGCTCTTGGGACCCCTGACAGGTGGAACACAGAAGGCCCAGTTGCAATCTCGACTTCAGCGAGTAGTTCATGCATCAACACCATTCACCCAGTTTTTCAAAATTATACCTTTCAGATACATTCCAAACTTTGACTCTACCATCATATTCACAGCCTACCCATTTCTCCAATAACAATATATGCCTGAAATATGTCAGGTTTTTGTGGAAGAGCTCATAAGATTTTATCATCTTTATTATTATTATTACTTTATACTTTATTTATAAACAACATATTCCGTAGCATTATCCATGGGTACATGGAAGAGTATTTGTGTGAGTAGCTACAATGACAGATTTAGGAGACATTATGGAGAGGGCTAAAACTGCTGATCTGAAAAATTTGAATTCCTTTTCAACACAGATTCCTTCTCCTCTACAGGTGTTCGCCCGTATAAATGCCACCTCTGTGACAAGGCCTTCACTCAGCGTTGCTCACTGGAGTCACACTTGAAGAAAATCCATGGGGTGCAGCAGAACTATGCTTATAAAGAACGGCGGACCAAGCTCTATGTGTGTGAGGATTGTGGCTACACTGCTGACAGCCAGGAGAGCCACATCTATCATTTGCAAGAACAGCATCCCCACAGTCCCCTAATCCCACGTGCTACAAAAAAACTCACCATGACCCTCCAGACCACAGTAAACTCTCTGATACAAGGAGGTCATCTCATCTGAAGCTGGATTTTCTGCTCGTCATGATTATTTGAGCTATGTCAAAAATTAGTTAATGACAATTTTGAGTTGCTTCCTTTGCTACAGCTACCACGCAGTCAAATTTCCAATTTTGAGCCGGAACATTAAGTCCAATGTTCAAAATTTCACAAGTGCCATATTTATGAAATTTGCTCTATCCCAGATGGCTGTTGGTGACAAAATAATATGCTTCATTTAACAGCAGTCATCATGGACCATATGACACTGGCAAAACTTTCTATAGAAAACATAGTGACATTTACTCTAACATATCATATTTCATTTTTTTAAATGGCAAAATAAATATATTTTTATGCTCATTATAAACATATATAGCTATCTATATATAGCTATCTATATAAACTAAATTTTCCAGTGTAGGATGCATAAAGTGATCTCATAAAATATTTGACCACTTCACTGATAAGCACTCCATCTAAAATACTTCATACATTTACCCCCAATTCTAAAGGGGACATTTCATAAATTGTAAAGAGGAGCTGTCCTATTATCTTGCTATTTTTTCTATTTAAGCTGATATTAAGTTTTAGCTGTCAATAGTAATTTCTATTCAGTTCAGTAAAACCACTCTTTCCTTCACAGTATGCCGATGAATGAGTGTACCACATTATCAAGATACTCCGCATATGGATTTTCCTCACTGAAGGAATGTCTGTGCAAGGAATTATAGGATATACCTGTAATTAATTTGCATCAGATGCCAGGCTATGCCAGGACAGGTTTGCATTTGATACAAATGTAATTTTTAAGTAGAAGATTTGAGTTTAGTTTATTTTTTTTATTTTTATATTTTGATTTTTAACATAAAAGCATAAATAGTCCATATTCAGTTCACTATTAAAATGTGCTCTAATGTCAAAATAGACTACTTCTTTTCTTCTCTGCCTTTCTTATGGATCCATCCATCTTGGGTGTATAGTGTGTAATTGCTGTGCATGCGCACAAAGCAAAAGTCCCTTCTGAAATCAATAGCACCAATTCAAACAAACAGTTTGGCTACAACTAGATTCCATTCACTGTGTTTCTTCCATTGATTTCAGTTAGATATCAGGATTTGACTAGTGTGGGATATCATAACAACTTGAAAGGATTGTTCGTCACAGGAAATAGAACAGAGACAGTAAGAATTCGGCCAGGGTAGCACTTGTTTGGGTACATCTCTTTTTAAAACTGTATTTATGTATTTCAGCATTTGAAGATTCAGCAAATGACATAACAATCTAGTTCAGTTCAGGCACAGCCAGGGCACACATTGCAAATAGGTAAAATAAACTGAAACATTGTCTAGTTTTTCCTATTCATAGGTTCTTTATCTCTGTTAGATGCCATATTCCAAGGACAGTGATTGACAGGGAGCTAAGATGGAGACATCCAGTTGCAGAATAAAGAGGTGTTGATTTTTGCATTTAATATTATTTTTAACAACACATCAATACAAGTTTGTTAAAGGGATACAAATCTGTATTCTTAGCACCATAGTTCCCTCTGGTCACCACTCCCTCGCACCCCCTACCTCCCCTGGCACTGCATGGTTAAAAAAATCTTTTAACGCTCGTTTCCAGTGCCGATATCCCTTTTGGCGACCTGCCTCCTCCTACGGGAGAATAATGCGCATTCGGGGCGAGCGCATTAGGCCCTCTCCACCGGAAAGCACTGATTTATTGTTCTAAATTGCAGGACTAAGGGGTCAGAGACACTGCATCCAGACCACTTCAATAAGATGAAGTGGTCTGAGTGCCTATAGTGTACCTTTAAAAATAGGAGATTGGCAGGGCCGGAGCGTCCATAAGGCGGCATAGGCAGCCGCCTTAGAGCGCCAGAGCAGGGGGGTGCAAAAATCTTTTTTCAAATCATCTGTCTCCCTGCAGTCTGCAGCCGGGGAAGTCTTTTTCTTTTATTTAGTTCAATTCTTCTTTTTAATCCTATTTGTTTTTAAGCAGCTCCTGTCCCCGCCCCCCTCCCATAGCCCCTGTGCATCTCTACACAACACTTGTGCCCCTACCACTGCTCCTGCCCCTCTCTACTGCTCCTTTCCCCCTCCATCCCTGTGCCCACCTCTACAACCACTGCTCTTTTCTACAGCAGCTGTGCCTCCCTCTACGGCCCCTGTGACACCCCCACAGCTCCTGTCCCCCCTCATCACAGCTCCTGACCCCTCTTGGCCCCTGTTCCCCTTTCTTAGCCCCTGTCCCCCTTCACCACCGCTCCTGCCCTTGCTTACCGCAGCTCCTAATTCTTCCTTCTCTCAGCCACTGTCCCCCTCCATCCCTGTGCCCACCCCTACAACCACTGCTCTTTTCTACAGCAGCTGTGCCTCCCTCTATGGCCCCGGTGTCGCCACCACAGCTCCTGCCCCCCCTCATCATAGCTCCTGTCCCCTCTCTAAGCCCCTGTTCCCTTTTCAGCTCCTAATTCTTCCTTCTCTCAGTCCCTGTCCCCCCCTTCAGCCTCTGTCCCCCTCTCAGCCCTTGTCCCCCTCACCAAAGCTCCTTTCCCCCCTCACCACAGCTCCTGTCTCCCCACCACAGCTTCTGTCCCCCCTCACAACAGCCCCTGTCTCCACCACAACTCTTGCCCCCCTCACCACAGTTCCTGTTTCTCCCACTACAGCCCTTGTGTCCCCCTACAGTCCCTGTGCCCCCATCTACAGCCCCTGTGACTTTACCACAGCTCCTGCCCCCCCTCAGCACAGCTCCTGCCCCTCCTCAGCCCCTGCCCCCAGCTGTTGTTCCCCCTTTCTCTCAGCCCCTGTCCCCCATCTCAACCCTGTCCTCCCTTCTCAGCCCCTGTCCCACCTCTCGACCCCTGTCCCCCCACTCGGCCCCTGTCCCCCATCTCGGCCTCAGCACCTGCCACTTCTCTCGGTCTTAGACCTTGTCCCCTCTCTCGCCCCTGTCCCCTCTCTCAATTTCAGTCACTGTCCCCTCTTTCAGCCCCTATGCACCCACCACAGCCCATGTGCACCACTCAACAGCACCTGTCCCCCCCCTCTGTCCACAGCCCCTACCACCCTCACCACAGCTTCTGCCCCCCTCTCACTACAACTCCTGTCCCCCATCACCACAGCTCCTGCCCCCATCACCACAGCTCCTGACCCCACACCACAGTCACTGCCCCCCCTAAGCCCCTGTCCTTCCCTCTGCAGCCCCTGTCTTTCCCTCTACAGCTCCTGTTCCCCCACCACAGTCCCTAACTCCTCTACTACACATCCCTCCAACTACAGCCTCAATCCTCCCCACATGCAGCCCTATTATTTTACACCCTATAACCCCACTACAACCCCTATTCCTTCACTACAGTCCTTACCTCCCGCTACAGTCCCATATCATCCCCACTACAGCCCCTCTCCCCCAATTGAACCATACCACCCACACCACAGTCCCTTTCCCAAATTGCAGCCATAAACCTACTTCAGCCTCTATCCCCCCCCCCCTATATTTCCTAACTCCCCAATTACAGCCCATACCCTCCACTACAGCCTCTAACCCTCAACTACAGCCCCTGTCACCCCACTACAGCCCCTAACCCCCTACTAAACCCCAAACTTTTCAATTACAGACACTACAAGCTGCAACCAGTGCCCTTCCCGTGATTAGATTCTGGATTCGCCCCTGCTCTGTATGCTTATATCTGTGTGACTATATGACTGTGTATTATATGTATTTGTATGCCTGTGTCTGTATTTCTATATGCAGTGTCTGAATGTCTCTGTATGTCTGGTTTGTATGACTGTGTATGTATGTCTTTGTATGCCTGTGTTTGTATGTCTATATGACAGTGTCTGAATGCCTCTGCAGAAATTGCAGCAAGATTTGATTTTGTTTGGGCAAAATAATCTTTTACCTATTTGGGTATAAAGATCACTACCAACCCTAGAAATTGGATTGAAATCAATTTGCTTCCTCTAATTAAAGACTTTAATATAAATTTCAAGCAATGGAAAAATAAGGAGATATCATGGTGGGGAAGAAATAATGTTGTAAATCTTATGTTATGCCCAAAATAACTTATATGATGAGTTTATTACCCATAAATATCCCCTTGAGCTGGATGAAGTTAATCCAGACTCTATTTTCCAAGTTTATCTGGCAAAAAAAAAAAGACCTAGAATTAGCCAAAAGTTATTAACAATAAAAATTGGGAGGTCTGGGTTTTCCATCATTGGACAGTAGTGATGTCCCGAACGGTTCGCCGCGGACTCCAGTCAGCAGACACATTCCAGCCAATCAGCAGCAGACCCTCCCTCCCAGACCCTCCCACCTCCTGGACAGCTCACTAAGAATGAAGCTTCAAAATGGATGCTGTCCAGGAGGTGGGAGGATCTGGGAGGGAGGGTCTGTTGCTGATTGGCTGGAATGTGTCTGCTGACTGGAGTCCGCGGCGAACTGTTCGTGGCGAACCGTGGCGAACTGTTCGTGGCGAACCGTTCGGGACATTACTATTGGACAGACTTCACTTTGTGCTTCACTTTTAGCTCATGCAATTTGACTCTACATCAAACTTCTAAAGAGGATATTTTAGAGTGAAAAACAATAGGAATATATAAAAATCTTGCCGCTGCCTTTTGGATCCCTTTAGGGACAATTAAAAAACTAAGTTTTTAGGGAAATGTCTTATCTTTGAACTCTGTTTTAAAGAATTGGTATAAAATTAAAGAAAATCTAGGTCTTAAAGAAAAAAATATTACCTTCTTTGAAGGTGGACATTATAACGGATCTTTTACAAGACGTTGACTTAACAAACTGGAATTCTAAAGAGATAATATTGGTTAATGATTTAATAGAGAGAAATAAAATTAAATCTTTTTCTGCTCTCGGTAAAAAATATGAGATTCCTAATAAGGAATTATCTTAAAATTCAAGCATTTTCTCCCAAAAATCCTATACCTGTTATGCTCCCTGCAAATACACCTCCCCCAGACTTACCTACAAAGACTGCAGTCTACCCTAATCAGATTTAGCTGGGGTGGAAAGCATCCCAGGGTACCAAGAACACTCCTAATGAAACCGACCGACAAGGGGTGCTTGGGATTCCCCAATATCAAGGCCTATTATCAAGCAACCCAGATAACTAATATCCTCACCATGCACTCCCCCACATACACTCCCCAATGGATAGAAATCGAAGCCAGCTGCGGCGAGGTCGCGAACCTCCCAGCATCAGTTTGGGCGCCCAAGAAACTAAGGCGCATGGCCCAAGGTACACTACCTACGACTAAACTAATGTACACCTGCTGGGATACTCATAGAACCGCCCTTTGCTCCGCCAGGCCTTGGTCCATGGCAACTCCAATGCGCACCATTGGGCTGTGCAACGACACGTTCCCATACAGAGCATGGGAAAGATGCAAAATCACACACCTACACCAGGTATGCACCTCGCAAGGGCCACAAACGCTACAAAATTTACAGACTATATCCAACATTCCACCACATCTCAGATTCTCGTACTGGCAACTAAAAACAATAATTAGCAACAAGGAGGAGAAAGACCCCACACCAACATTCGATACCACTCTCACACACTTCGAAAAGATGTGTTTCCACCAAACACTGATCCACCAAACCCTATCACTCACTTACAAACACCTTAACTCACCAAAAAAGGAGCCTGTCTGGCGCTTTATAGATGATTGGAATAAGGATATAGGTAGATCCCTCACGGAGGAAGAATGGGACAGCATTTACAGAAATCATAAGGGACTACCTGTGCGTCTCACCTGGAGGCCGCAAGGAAACTATTGTATAGATGGTACATGGTACCCACCCGACTAAAGGCAATTTACCCGAACACAAACGACAGATGCTGGAAATGTCTGTCACAGGAGGGTACTCAACTCCATATGTGGTGGACATGCGACCTGGTGCGCCCCTACTGGGAACAAATAGCGAAACTCATACAGGGGGCCACAGGGTGCATATTAGAACACACTATTGAAACCATACTACTCAAACACATGCCAAGAGGAGTACCCCACTGCATAGCTAAAATCATATTCATCACACTCTCTTTGGCCACTACATTGTTAGCCAAACAATGGAAGACCCTGAATATCCCTACAGTGTCAGAGGTAGCCGCACTAGTCTCTACCACACTGGAATATGAAGTGGCCATGTGAAACCAAACAAAAACGGGAAAAGGCTGCACTACAGCACATACAATGTGGATGACATATATAGAAACCAAGGGAACCAGTGACCCTGTTAGGATAGGATGAGGCTCAAAGAGACATAACTAGGCATAACTAGACACCCAAGGTAACGTAAGAACATACCAACTACCCCAGTTATACCCCCCTCTTTTTAACCCCCCCAGTGGGTAGCAGTTCAGAAGCAGGGCAGTCCTCCGATACACAGACGGAGGTGTGGAAGAAAAAAAATATCTAAAGGTTGAACCAGAGCTCCCCGAATAATACACGTCCACCTTGACCCACCAAAGCCCTACCATGAACCGAGCAAGAGTAACCCGTAAACACACACCCGCATGGTAATTAAAGGCACAGCAGTTAGCCAAACAATTTGGCAAGGAGCGACGCCACCTCAGTTATATCACCAAACACAGAAACCCTCCTGCAGTTAACAGGGAGCCGAGCCAGGAACCAAACCCCAAACGCCACCACAAGGGCACTAACACACAGTTGGCAAAGGGAACATAGACACCACAAATAGGGTACGGAGCAACGAGCCAAGCAACCCCACAACACAATTAGAAAAAAACACTTGTGGGGCATGAGACTGACCCTTAATAGAAGGGAGCTTTAGGAGGGAAACAAGCTTACCCACCCGTTCATATCCCTAAACCCTCCCCTTTTCTGTACCCTCTCCCCATCCCACTAAGCCAACGTAAGGTAGTACTTGTCGAATTATGTAAGTCGTTGAGATGCAGATCAAGGACGTTATGGTGTTACAAGCATTGTATACTGACATGAACATCTTTTTGACCCCCTCCCCTTCTTCCCTTCTGTACCCAACACAAATAAAAATAAAAATTGTCAAATTGAAAAAAAAAAATTCAAGCATTTTTTTAACAAAAAACGTAATAACTTAACTTAAAACGAATAATCAGCAAGTATTTGACTATGTTATAAACAGAAAGGATACAAAAACCTAATTTCTATTTGTAATTCATTACTACAAAAACAAGATAAACATATAATCCCGAAAGCTATTCAAAAATGTGTACATGATTTAAGAACATCTAGTACACTAAAAGATTGGTATAATATAATGATCAACACAAAAACGAATATCAATTGTTTGAACTTAAATGAACGCCAATACAAACTACTCAATCGATGGTACTTAACCACTAAAAAATTAAAAAAATATATATCCAAAGGTACCATCTGAGTGGTGGAAATGTGGAGAACAGGAAGCAGACTATTTACATATGTGGTGGTCCTGTCCTGTCATTAAGGAATTGGGGATGGAGACTTAAAAAATGTTAGATAAAATGCTGGGATATAGAATGTCATTGAAACCGGAACGGGTACTATTACATCTCAATCTTCCTCAAAACAAAAAAAAAATATTTAAAATTGATTTTACATGTGTTTACTGCAGCTAAAATTGTGTTTTTTGTTGTTATGCTCGAAGACAGGCTCTCTCCTCCCCCCTCCCACCAGGTTATAAGGCCATGTATAATTGTATGTGATCAAAAAATATATATACAGGGAGTGCAGAATTATTAGGCAAATGAGTATTTTGACCACATCATCCTCTTTATGCATGTTGTCTTACTCCAAGCTGTATAGGCTCGAAAGCCTACTACCAATTAAGCATATTAGGTGATGTGCATCTCTGTAATGAGAAGGGGTGTGGTCTAATGACATCAACACCCTATATCAGGTGTGCATAATTATTAGGCAACTTCCTTTCCTTTGGCAAAATGGGTCAAAAGAAGGACTTGACAGGCTCAGAAAAGTCAAAAATAGTGAGATATCTTGCAGAGGGATGCAGCACTCTTAAAATTGCAAAGCTTCTGAAGCGTGATCATCGAACAATCAAGCGTTTCATTCAAAATAGTCAACAGGGTCGCAAGAAGCGTGTGGAAAAACCAAGGCGCAAAATAACTGCCCATGAACTGAGAAAAGTCAAGCGTGCAGCTGCCACGATGCCACTTGCCACCAGTTTGGCCATATTTCAGAGCTGCAACATCACTGGAGTGCCCAAAAGCACAAGGTGTGCAATACTCAGAGACATGGCCAAGGTAAGAAAGGCTGAAAGACGACCACCACTGAACAAGACACACAAGCTGAAACGTCAAGACTGGGCCAAGAAATATCTCAAGACTGATTTTTCTAAGGTTTTATGGACTGATGAAATGAGAGTGAGTCTTGATGGGCCAGATGGATGGGCCCGTGGCTGGATTGGTAAAGGGCAGAGAGCTCCAGTCCGACTCAGACGCCAGCAAGGTGGAGGTGGAGTACTGGTTTGGGCTGGTATCATCAAAGATGAGCTTGTGGGGCCTTTTCGGGTTGAGGATGGAGTCAAGCTCAACTCCCAGTCCTACTGCCAGTTCCTGGAAGACACCTTCTTCAAGCAGTGGTACAGGAAGAAGTCTGCATCCTTCAAGAAAAACATGATTTTCATGCAGGACAATGCTCCATCACACGCGTCCAAGTACTCCACAGCGTGGCTGGCAAGAAAGGGTATAAAAGAAGAAAATCTAATGACATGGCCTCCTTGTTCACCTGATCTGAACCCCATTGAGAACCTGTGGTCCATCATCAAATGTGAGATTTACAAGGAGGGAAAACAGTACACCTCTCTGAACAGTGTCTGGGAGGCTGTGGTTGCTGCTGCACGCAATGTTGATGGTGAACAGATCAAAACACTGACAGAATCCATGGATGGCAGGCTTTTGAGTGTCCTTGCAAAGAAAGGTGGCTATATTGGTCACTGATTTGTTTTTGTTTTGTTTTTGAATGTCAGAAATGTATATTTGTGAATGTTGAGATGTTATATTGGTTTCACTGGTAATAATAAATAATTGAAATGGGTATATATTTGTTTTTTGTTAAGTTGCCTAATAATTATGCACAGTAATAGTCACCTGCACACACAGATATCCCCCTAACATAGCTATAACTAAAAACAAACTAAAAACTACTTCCAAAAATATTCAGCTTTGATATTAATGAGTTTTTTGGGTTCATTGAGAACATGGTTGTTGTTCAATAATAAAATTAATCCTCAAAAATACAACTTGCCTAATAATTCTGCACTCCCTGTATGTATGTTTTTCTTCTCCCTTTTCTTTCCCTGAAAAAGACCAATATTACCCTTCTTCAATTTGGAGAATTTTAAGGAACTATAAAATATATGTATTTGATTAAACTCTGTATAGGGGAAATGTCCAAGGATACTTGATGTACCTCTTTGTATGATATTGGCACAAAATATCACCTTTTATAATAGAGAAAGAAATTTGTTTTTGTTTTTGTATTATTGTCTTGTTGTATGTATTATTGTATGTTATGTAAAAAGGAAAAAAGGGGAGAAAAAATAAAAAGGAAAAAAGAGGTAGGGATAAGAACAATTGGCAACTACTAAATATGAAGGATATTCAGGTGGTATCCCCAATTGAGGACAATGATCAGGCTAAACCACGTGTAGGGCTTCTACCTGCTATATATACAATATTGACACAATTTACATAGGCAGACAGGATCTGAACGTTCTAGATGCCAGAGTAAAAGCTCTAATGGGCAGGCGTACAGATATAGTAATTTTTGCAAATCACACCAGTTAAAAGTTAGTCTAAGCATTGAGAGTAATTACAGAGTACTTTCTGTATCATACACTTTGCAAATAAGAAATGTCTTTATGGTGGTCGACGTGACCCTTTATTAGATAGATTAGATAGATTTGCCTTGTTTCCTCTTTGAGATTATAGGTAAGCTCTTGCGATTAAAGTTGTATGGTTTTTTATATGTATTCTATGTACTGTATTGAAATTTTATGCTTTTAGTGCGCTATGTTTTTTGTCTTGTAAAGAATGTTTTTGTTAAAAAAAATGAAAATTCTTCCCGAAAAGGAAGTTAATAAAGATTATTTAAAAAATAAATAAATGAATAAAATATTTTTCAAAAATGGTAAAAAAAATAAAAATGTCCCCCCCTCTATTTTACACACACATTACATGCCTACACAAACACACACTGCATTCACTACACACACACGCAGGCCTGCCCCCAAGTCCGCCCACATGACCCGCCCCAGATCAACCCACAGGGCCCATCCTGAGTTTACCATAAGTATGAAGTGTGTGTGTACTGAATTTGGTGTGTATATAGTGGCTGTAGAATGTGTATAGTGGATGCAGTGTTTATAGTAGATGCAGATTGTATGTTTGTGTAGTGGATAGAGTGTGTGACAGTAGATGTATCACGTGTATAGTGAATGCAGAGTGTGTGTTTGTGTAGTGGATGTAGTGTGTGCATAGTGAGTGCAGTGTGTTTGTGTAGTAGATGTAGTGTTTGTGTGTATAGTGAATGCAGAGTTTGTAATAAATGTAGTGTGTGTTTGTGTAGTGGAATTAGTGTGTACATAATGACTGCAGATCGTGTGTGTGTAGTCGATGTGGTGTGTGTATAGTGAATGCAGAGTGTGTGTTTGTGTAGTTAATGTAGTGTGTGTGTGTTTGTTTGTGTAGTGGATGCAGTTTGTGTGTTTATGTGGTGGATGATGTGTGTGTTTTGTAGTGGGTGCTGTGTGTGTGTTTGTGTAGTTGATGATGTGTGTGTTTGTGTAGTGGATGATGTGTTTGTGTAGTGGATGCAGTTTGTGTGTTTATGTGGGTGATGTGGGTGTTTATGTGGTGGATGCATTTTGTGTGTTTATATGGTGGATGCTGTGTGTGTGTGTGTGTGTGTGTGTAGTGGTTGATGTGTGTGTGTGTGTAGTGGATGATGTGTGTGTTTATGGGGTGGATGCAGTTTGTGTGTTTGATGTGTGGTGGATGCAGTTTGTATGTTTATATGGCGGATGCTGTGTGTGTGTGTGTGTGTGTAGTGGATGCTTTTTGTCTGTTTGATGGTGTGTGTGCTGGGAGGTATTTTTTTTTTGCTGTTAAATTTTTATTACATTTTTTTTTAATGTATTCCCCCTTCCCTGCCTCTTACCTGTAGTCAGGGAGGGGGCAGGGCACTGTATTCCCTAGTGGTCGGGTGGCTCAGCTGGGCTGGTTAGGCCAGCAAAGAAGGGCTCAGCAGTCTGCATCTTCTGTAGCGAGCCCGGCATGCATTGCGTGCCACAGGCGTTGTCACGGCAACCCGCGGCAACACTTTATAGCTGCAGCTCGCGAGAGTGCCAGAAAGGGAGGTAAGTATATCCTGGGCCCCGCTTGGAAATCAGCAGGGCCCGCAGGGGCATATATATATAGCGGTACTCGCTATATATATATGCATATTGGAGGGCGGGGGGCCTGGACACGCAGAGGATTACCTTTGCAGTCCGGGCCCCCCAGGGCCGCCGGGCCCGTGACAACCGTCATGGTTGATTCCTCCTGATGGTGGCCCTGCATGCACGCAGTACACAAACACACACTCTGCATTCATTATATACACACCACATCCACTACACAAACCCATACTGCATTCACTATACAAACAGTACATTCATTATATACACACTCTACATCCACTACAAAAACACACTTCACATTCACTATACACATTACATCTATTATATCCACTGCATAAACACAGACTCTGCATTCACTATACACACTACATTCACTACACAAACACACACTCTGCCTTCACTATACACACACTACATCCACTACAAAAACACACACTCTGCGTCCACTAGACAAACACTGCATTCACTATACATGCTCTGCATTCACTACACAAACACACACTGCATTCACTATACACACACTACA